AAAGAGCTATAGAGTTATCTTGCACTGTGTAAATATCAATTAATGATTTTTGTATACAATTTTTTACTTTATAAGCATTAACAGAAGGTTGCTCCACCTTGTTTTGCAATCCATAATTAAAAACCGTTTTTTTTTCAAATTCAGCCTTAATATATTTTTGTAAGATGTCGTTCTTGGTAGGTGATCGTCTAAATATTATTATCAACTTGCGTACTTTTTTAATGACTGGTCCATAATGAACTTCATTTAGTTCAATTTTAGATCTTAAACTTTCATGATTGTAGCCCAGTAAATCTTCCTCAATATCCTCATTCTCGGATGAATCACTGTCAAAAAATTCATTTTCAAATTCTGGCTGATTTGCATTGAATTCTTTTTTTTTATAAAGAACATCAATTACAGCAAGTTGTATGCCGTGGGCAAAATATAATTGTTGATTTGCAGCCAGCAACATTCCAACTTTTTTCATAACACTAGCTCCGTCGGTTATTATAGCTACAATGTCGCCGTGTAGATCAAGACAATGATCCTTAAGTTTTTTTTCTAATAGTTAAATGCACTTTTCTGCTGGCATTGACCCTGTTATTCGCACTAAACCCAAACTCCAAAACTGATAATTTTTTCCATGAACGTTAATATTCATATAGCGGATTTCAAAGTGATGTCCATTCGTCAAAAGACAAAGAAAATTTCTCTCCTACCCCAAATTCTGTACTCTTTTTTTTGCATATTTAATTTCGCTTTAATTTGCTGAACTAAACTTAATCTTACTTTTTTGCTGTACTGTACATGATTACGAATTGTGTTTACTGACGTTGGTAGATTTCTGAATTCCATAGGAGTTAGAGCGGTAAATCTATTGAAAAACAAATCACATTAAATGAAAGTCCGTAAAACACCGTTAGACGAGCAAGTGTAGCGTGAAGTGTTTTATCTTCCTTCTCAAAAACCGAAAGGTATTCTGTTATTGGTTTAGATTTCTTTTTTGGTGGTTTATCTGATGTGCTTTCTCCGGTAATATTAGGTTGGGTTGGACTTTCGACCTTTACATTATGCACCGACAACATGTGTATATGAAGTCCTTTTGTTGAACCACCACAGATTTTTAAAATCTTCTTGCAGTTTGGCAATTTAAACATCGCTGTTTGCCCTTTCTCTTTTCGTAGAAAATATTTCCAAACAGCTGAGTTACTTTTAATTGTAAAACTCATATACGCCATGCTTAAGTAAGTTTTAATTTTAAGAGTAAACCTTGTAAGAAACGCGCGTTTTTTTTTTCAGCTTAAAAAAGTTTATTTTGCCGATTCACAGAACAGAATAACTGAAAATAGAATTACTTTCGGCGATATTATACTAAATAAATTATTATATTGATGCGCATAAATTGTTGTTATTTTTAAATATATTTTTATTTACCCTTTGTTTTGCTCGATCGTATAGGGAGTCCCGGGATTGATATTAGACAATCCCGGGATTTTGGGATTATAAAAAAGGCCAGGATCCCGGGATTTCGGGATCCCGGGATTGCAAACCCTAGTTTTAAGGGGTTTTTTTTTGTTTTTTTTTTACCTAAATTGTTATTTTTATTATTTATATTTTCTATTTTATAAATATCGATAAAATTGGTTTTTTTATCTATGAGTTCTTTAATTTTTATCTTAATGGCCATAAGATTATCAAATTAATAAGTTCCATATTTACTATTGTTTTATTGTATATTTTTGGTATTGTTTTGTTGATTAGGTAGCTGTTGGTAATGACTCAAAAATAAGTCCAAGCTTTTATTTGAAAATAAATAAATTATTTTTGAAGATCGTAACTTGATAGATATTATAATATTGATAGATGTAGATTAATGCGTTCAAAATTTTAAGTAAAGGACAGGCGTTAGTGAATTTATTTTTATTATAAATCAATTTTGATGCGTGTTTCTAGAGTAAATATAAAGAACTTAGTTTAGATTATTTTGTATATTCCCAGACAATATTAGCATATGTTAGATAACTTTGCATATAAGAAAAATAAAGAACTTTTAGTTTCTCTTGGGAAAGTAAAATTTTAACTTTGTAGAGTTTGCCGATACTTTTTGATATTTTTGAATTGTTTTTATTTGGGCTTTCCAAGAAATACTTTCGTTAATAATTTTCAAAAGAAATTTAATTAATAAAGTTTTTTTTATCACTTTATATTTATGTTATCAAATTTAGTAATGGAAGCATCATCGGCAAACTATGTTTATGTAATGTTTTTCCAAATGGTAGCATGCTTTGTATGTTATGTTTGTATGTAATGTTCTAAATAGTAGCATGCTTTTCCTATTATGTTTTATGTAATATTTTTCCAAACATTACAAAAAACGTCAAAAAATATGTAAAATGTATAGTAAACAATGTAAAGTAGAAAATTAGTAACTTTTATTATTATTATTATTACTGATTTATATATTTACGCTATTGTCACTGTTTGGACTTACCGAACGTTCTTGTCCGTTGAAACGTTATTGATTTTTGAGTGCTTCGTTCACCACCCGTCCTTAATCCTATAATATATTTCTAAAAGTTTTTAGAGGTGTCCAATTAAACATTCCATAAAATTCCTGACAAAGTTTAATTGCCCCGGTTAACCCCATTTACCTTTTATACTGTTTTTTAATGTTCAATCAAAAATATCAATGTGAAAATAAACATCATAGAACATATAAACACAATTGAAAATTAAAAACCTAATTTAGCATAACCAATACATTAATATTATTAGATTAGAACAATATATTTGATTGATCTTTGCTATCCCTACATACAAACCTTAAAATTATTGATCTTTGCTATCCCTACATACAAACCTTAAAAGTCTTTTTGTTTTCAATAATTATAGAAATTTATCATGGTTTTATGTTTAGTCAAATTTTGTAATATGTAAATATAATTTGGCTACTACAACCAATAAATATCTTATAAGGTTTGATTATTTTGAACATCGATAAACTACAGTTTAGTTAAATTTTTGAGACAATGTCGTTGTTTGTGAATAATTATAGGAATTGAATTGTCTATTGTAATGGAAAGGTTATAATAACATTACACTTAGAAAATTACTACTAATAAACTCACCCTCAATTACATTTTGCTGAACCCAGGATTTTGTTTTATTGACTTAAGAGTAGCTTAACAACCTTAATTAGTTCAAGGTTGATTGCTCAATTTTTTGAGATATTCTAATAACTCATATGGCGGGGTACCTATAGTAAAAACAAGAGTTGTTAGCCCTTGCGTTAAGGTGGTTCATCACCAAAAAAAAAGTTAATAAAAAAAAAAAAATCGAAAAAAAAGTATTGTTATCTTATTTAATAGATAATTTTATTTTTTTTTAGTTTTTTGAAAAAAATTCTACCTTTTTTTATACATAATTTGTGATATTTGACCTTTTAGTTAGGTACATATAAAAATGAGTCCTTAGCAACACCTTAATTACCGAATTAAAACAACTATAAACCTATCTAGTTCATTGGTAAAATTATTTTATGAGAGGTCTTGAAATTGTTATTATTATTTGAACCTGTTATGTAAAATATAACTATTTTTAAACTGCATTATGGGCTATATTTACATAAATATGGGTTAGTGCTATATCCTGTCGTTCAAAAGTACAAATCCGATCTAACACAAATCGCAGACCTGGAAAATGTTTACGCATGCGTATTTTCCGTGTAATTTAAAACCATATTAAAACATAAAAATAGCCTCGTGCGCCAGGTAATGTCGTTCAAAAATACATTTTTATTTTAAATGCTGTAATGTTCGTTGTATTGCCTTTCTTTATTTTATGTTCTTAAATAGAAAAATATATTTATATACAGAATGTCGTTCAAAAGAACATGCTTTTATTAAATGCTATTAATAATTGCATTTAAAACAAAAATGTACTTTTTAACGACATTATGACAATAATAATATTAGACACATAAAAGTATTCAGTGCTATTCATTATATTGCCTTTCTTTATGTTTGTGTTCTTAAAATTTGTATAACAATGGCATAATGTCGTTCAAAAGTACATCCTTAGATGTTTGTATTAAATGCTATTAATAATTGCATTTAAAACAAAAATTTACTTTTGAACGACATTATGACAATAATAATATTAGACATATAATAGTATTCAGTGCTAATCATTATGTTGCATTTCTTTATGTTTGTGTTCTTATAATTCGTATAAGAATGACATAATGTTGTTCAAAAGTACATGCTTGTATTAAATGCTATTAATAATTGCATTTAAAACATAAATGTACTTTTGAACGACATTATGACAATAATAGTATTAGACACATAATAATATTAGGTGCTATTTTTTATATTGTCTTTTTTTATGTTTGTGTTTTTAAAATTTGTATAACAATGGCGTAATGTTGTTCAAAAGTACATGCTTGTATTAAAAGCTAACAATAATTGCATTTTTTTTAAATGTACTTTTGAACGACATTATGACAATAATAATATTAGACACATACTAGTATTCAGTGCTATTCATTATATTGCCTTTCTTTATGTTTGTGTTCTTAAAATTTGTATCACAATGCCATAATGTCGTTCAAAAGTACATGCTTGTATTAAATGCTATTAATAATTGCATTTTTTGAAAATGTACTTTTGAACAACATTATGACAATAATAGTATTAGACATATAATAATATTCTGTGCTATTCGTTATATTGTCTTTCTTTATGTTTGTGTTCTTAAAATTTGTATAACAATGGCGTAATGTTGTTCAAAAGTACATGCTTGTATTAAAAGCTAACAATAATTGCATTTTTTTTTTAATGTACTTTTGAACGACATTATGACAATAATAATATTAGACACATACTAGTATTCAGTGCTATTCATTATATTGCCTTTCTTTATGTTTGTGTTCTTAAAATTTGTATAATAATGGCATAATGTTGTTCAAAAGAATATGTTTGTATTTTAATGATGTTATTTATTGTATTGCTTTTCTTTATGATAAGGTTGATAAACAGTTTAAAAAATGTTTCTTTAGTTCTTATTTCAAATTTGTGTATTAATTCTTGAAGATAGTTGCTATTTTGATTTAAAACATTCAGTGGGTAAGATATTTTATTATCTTGTGTGATTATGGTGACCTACTCTTATGACACAACTTGTATCATGCAAGAGTATTCCTATAGGATTACAAATTTTTATATTTTAGAACAAATGGCATCAGTTGAATCTAAAGTACCTGTTACCAAGCATGTTTTTGCTACTTATGCAGATGTTTGTGCGAAAATTGCAGAGCACGAAATGTTGCACACAGTGCATTATGTTGTAACTTGTACAGGTAGCATGGAAAAGAACTATGAAGGTTAGCAAATTAATTAAATAAACTGTAGATAAAGTTCAGTCTACCTGTAGCAACTGTATGTTTAACTCAATTTTTTATGTTTTTTTTTTTTTTACTAAAACATAGAAATTACTTTAATAAGTGTAATTTATTTAGAATTGTTCAAGAAAGAACACAAGTTGTTTTATGAGGACAAAGATTTTTCCTACACAGGAGTACCATTCATTGTGTCAACACGAGCAACACTCGACTGTCAGCATGGAAAAGACAGAAATATTAAAAAAAAGGCTCAGTACAGGATAAAGAAAGATATTGAAGCTGTAAGTTTAACTAAAATTTTGTAAACTTATTTTATTTTACTCACAATTTCAAATCTCTTTTCTGTTATAATGATTATAAATAACTATAGTGTAAAGATTATAATTTTTATATATGTATATTTTTTTTTGTTTCTTTAATATTTATTATTATCATATTCTTTAGCATATTTATTTTTAATTCATAAACAACAGATATGCGATTTTAATTAACTTGTGCATATTTATTTTAATGTGTAGAGTACAGATCATTATTGCCGAAAAAATAGAGTCATTTTGCAGGATACCAAAAAATTTGATTGTCCTGCCATGGTCTATATAAAAGAAATTATTGAATTTCCAGAGTTTAAGGTATTTTATTGTTATTAATATTTATTGGTGTGTCTGTTACATATATATATATATATATATATATATATATATATATATATATATATATATATATATATATATATATATAATTATTTTTTTAATATGTTTATATATTACCCTACAATTAGATAGCTTTAAAAATAACTAAAAATTTATCTTCTAGTTATAACAATTTATCTCTCATTTTTACAGGTTTCTAAAAATACAGTACGGTTAAGAAAGGAAACATCAAAAAAACTCCGTTTAGCTTTAGTTGACCCTGAAATTTTACTTAAGTGCAGAAAGTATATCCTAGTATTGCCTGATATTTCTGTTCATAAGAATCATGCAGTAGGTGATGTAAGTAAAAATTTTCATTTAATTTAAAGTTATGTGGCTTTGTTTCTTAAAGTTTTCTATAAGGTTGATTTTGTTACATTTTTCAGAATGCAGGTATCAGTCAGCCCATTTCTGAAAATATCATAGTAAAAATTGCTGATCTAGTAAAAAAAGGTGTTAACACTGTATCGGAAATGAGACGACATCTTGAGTTTTTTGTTCAAGCAGAATTTACTGCCAATAATAATCTACAAAGCGCAAACAAACGTTACTTTCCAATAGATGAGACCATTCGAAATCATATGCTAAATGCGAGAAGAAAACTTCGCAGATCGTTGATAGATCAAGAATGTTTGCATGATAAAATAAGTGAATGGCAAATAATTTTCCAAGAAGCAATGATAAAGTTTAGACCAAAAGGTGTAAACATGGTTGATGATCCAGAGCTTAAGGATTCATTGTTATTTATCTATCAAGATGTTTGGCAGAAAAGATTACTCTTGCGATACGGAAATGAGCTAATTTTTCTTGATGCAACATACCGCACAACTAGGTATGCTCTCCCACTTTTTTTTCTGGTTGTTAAAACAAACATTGATTATCAGGTTGTTGCCATTTTTGTTTGTGAAAATGAAACCACATCTGCTATCACAGAAGCACTATTATGCATTAAAGAATGGAACCCTACATTTCAGCCAAAGTTTTGTTTAATTACTCAAATGAAGAGATAAGGTCATTAGAGTCGGTCTTTCCAGGTGAGGACTGTTGCTTAATAATCCTATTTAGTTTACTTTTTTGTGTTAGCTCAACCACTGTATAAACAAAATCCAACTCATTTTATTTAGGCTGTAATGTTTTGATATGCGACTTTCATCGAGAGCAAGCTTGGGAGAGATGGCTTTCCAAAACCTCTAATGGATGTTGTATTGTTAAAGATGCAATTAAGGTAAAATTGCATAAAATTGCTCATGCAACTACAGAAGAAATTTGCCAAAATGCTGTTAAAGCGTTAAAAGATTCTGAAGAGTGGAAAAATAACCCAAAACTAGCTGAATATTTAAACACTACTTGGTTATGTAACCAAAAGGTTAGTATTTATGTTATAAAAAATCTTTCTTTATTATTGTTCCTTATTTTATTTTACAGCTTCATTTCGATTGCTTGTAGCATTAATTTTCTTATTTAGAGATGGGTATTTGCTTTTCGGCAACAACGCTTATTGCGAAATATTAATACTAACAATGGCACTGAAAGACAAAACCAATCTTTAAAATATAGTTTTTTGGAAAGAAGAAAAAATTCTTCTTTGACAGCTATGCTTAGTATTTGTATAGAGGAATTTCTATCTCACAATTATGAAAAGTTAGTTATTTTTATGTTACTTGTGATTTTATTTAGCTACAACCACTTGTATTGTTGTACTTGTGATTTTATTTAGAAAATAAATAGCATTAAATGTATAGCTGATGTAACTGTTGCCATTACTGTATTGTTAAATTTGTAAATTTGATATATGTATATATATATATATATATATATATATATATATATATATATATATATATATATATATATATATATATATATATATATATATATATATATATATATATATCAGTGATTATCCAGGTCATTTTTTACAAACCCAGAAAATATAGTTTATGTAAAATATCCAGAAAAATCTGAAACATATTTTCCCTTACTATTCTCCTAATTAAGCTTTCAGCTTTCAAATATTATATAATCTTGAATATACGAGAAAACATTTTGGATATCCGGAAAAACTATAATTTGAGAAAAATATCAGGAATTCTGGAACAAGAAATTCCCTGATATATATATATATTATATATATATATATATATATATATATATATATATATATATATATATATATATATATATATATATATATAACATATATATCAGTATCAAAACATATATTACCATTATATTGACAAAAACCAAAAACCCTCAATAAAAGTTTTTGAAAAATGATAAAAGTGACCTCCGTATTAAGAAGATTGTAGATAACTTTTTTTGAACATTATATACCTGCCTTATCTTCTAATTGCCCAACACGTTTTACTAAATAAGTTATAAAAAAAATACATATAAAACATAAATAATCAGTGCTGTAATCTATAATAAATTAAAGTATATATCTAAAATAATTTAAACATAACTGAAAATAAATCCCTACACATCTCTCTTTGCTGTTCCACTAAAAAAACAAATCGTAATAGTTACAAAAAGACAAAGGAAAAAAAATATATATACTTTGACTTTTTGAGTTAAATTTACATAGTCGTTTAACATCTCAAACAAATATTGATTATAAATAAAAATTACTTAAAAAATAAACATACATATTTCTGTTTGTTGTGCAACTAAAGAAAAGACAAAATTACAACTTAAACAACAAGTCTCTATGTAGATAGTATTAGATTTATATTTTATACATGTCACTATTGTTTCTGTATTGCTTAACTAATTAAATCTTATAAGTTGTTAATAACTGCATATAAATATTGTCCAATAATAACTGCATATAAATTTTAATAAATATAGAAAGTTATTTCATTAACACCTTTTGATGGCTATGTCTGGTAACTAGAACTAATTTCCCCATAAGTTAATGGTAAGTAATGTTAATGCTTTTTAACTTTCTAATTAACCACATCTAACAAAATTAACCGCCAGTTTGGTGAACCTGTCTGTCCCCCAAACTTGTGACCGTATACTAGTGTGACTGGGGATCTTCAGCCCTGCAGACACCCAAAAAAAGTTTCTCTCCCGCTGGGTATTTTTAAGTGATAATCAAACCCCCAATATTTACAGCCCTAGTACTAAAAATGTGGTACTCAGCCCTAAATTACTCGATTAATTTAAATTGCATTTATTTTAAATAGTTTATTCACATATTTCGACTAAATTGATCTGGTCAATTTCAAAAAAGTGTTAGTCAATTTAGTGAATTTTGAAAATGTAGTAAACATAATAGTCGATTTAGTCAACAGTCAAACTTTTCAATAGTCGTAACAACACTACTTTTTATGATAAACCATACATCACAGACTGCCCACTTATTAGAATCTGAAAATTTGAACTAACTGTCTCCTTCAGAATTTCATATTCCATCAGAACGCACAAGCACTTCATATACATATAGAAATGAATGGACAATATTTATATGCAGATATTAAAAACTTATAAAAATTTATTTAATTGAGCAATACAAAAAAAAAGTGTAACATGTATAAAATATAAATTATCAAAACAAAAAAGCTCACCAATACTTTCCAACATTTTTTCTCTATCTACAAATAGATAAATAAAAATTTGATTATTACATCTAAAACTGTTTAATAATTCAACATAACAATAAAAAAAAGATTATAATTAAATATATTTTGTTCTACTTCTTAATAAATATTATATATATATATATATATATATATATATATATATATATATATATATATATATATATATATATATATATATATATATATATATATAATATATTAGGCAAGCATAAAACTTTTAGTCAGTCCATCCTTCCTCCTACTGAAAATTAATGATACATAAACACACTTCTAAATTATAAAGTATTATCAACAATATCAATTATTATTAACTAATATATCTCTTTTGAATATATAAAATTAAAGTGTTATACTTTTTTTTGATTTTTTATTTTTAGAACGTCTGGGTTCTTCTTCTAAAAACAAATAGTATAACAATATAACGTAATATATACTTTAATTAGAAAAAAATAATTTATCTCTCTCTTTACATATACATGTTTTTTTTTAAAATATACTTGATCTCCTGGATGATCTTGATCTGGATGATCTTGATCTAGAAGATCGATGTTGTTCTTCCTCTAAAAATGAATCAAAATTTGAATTTCTTGAAAAACCTATTCAAATGATTTTATATCATCTTTATCTTATCTTTCGTACTTGTAAAACTTAAGTTATTATTGTCTATTGCTTAATTAGTATTCCTATTGTTGTTTTTGCTCATGTTTTTGTGATTGCTATACTATCGATAGTTATTAGTTATACAATTCTTTTAATATATTATATTAAATATACTATCATTTTTGTTATTATTAGTTATACTATACTATAGTTATATATTAGCAGTTATACTGTAGTTAGTTAGTTTATATTGCTATGCATATCTTACTATAGTTGTTATTGCTATACTCTATTATTATTTGTAATATAAAATAATTAATAATAATATTAGCGCTAATAAGAGCTTATTAGTAGTAACAATAACACAAAAATAATTAAAAAAAACAATACTAATAAAACATGATACCTATAGCCTATAGGTGTCATTTTAGTTGTTTTATTAGTATTGCTTTTTTTTTATTATTTTTTGTGTTATTGTTACTACTATTAAGCTCTTATTAACGCTAATATTGTTAATAATTATTTTATAAACAAATAATAATATATATATCTAAAATACTATATAATTATATAGTTTTTTAGATATGTATATTATTATTTGTATGAAAATAAGTAAAAGCAAAAGTCATGATAACTCACAGAGTTTTTATATAAAAATTCTGTGAGTTATTAACTTTTATGTTTTTACTTATTTTCATACAAACATATATGTCGAACAAGTTTGTTTATTCTAAGTTTGCATTAACATTTAAATTCAAATAATTGATTGATTGAAAAACAAAACAACAGCAGATTTAGAATTTCTTACCAGATGATGACATTTTATTAAATGTTGATTTGAAATGAATCGATGAATGATAATTCTTAACAACAACAAACAACAAAAGCTTTATTTGTTTTATATATTATAAGTACATAACAATATCTAATATTATGATAAACTATATATGTTTAATTATAACTTAATATATGTATTAATCTGTTTACATAAGTTTATAGAGAAATAATAAGCCTTACATTAAGCTTTGAGCTGGCGCACGAGGCTATTTTTATGTTTTAATATGGTTTTAAATTACACGGAAAATACGCATGCGTAAACATTTTCCAGGTCTGCGATTTGAGTTAGATCGGATTTGTACTTTTGAACGACAGGATATAGCACTAACCATAAATATGTTGTTAAATAGTGTGCTTGTTAAAGTGAAGTTGCTGTGTTATTAAAGTTATATTTATATTGTTTTTCTTTTTTTTAAAGTCTTAGTTTTTATATTGTAAAGTAAATGAATGGGAAATAGTAAAAATTTATCACGAAGAAAGAAACTTTGCAATGTATTTTATAAAAAGAAAGAAGTTAAATCACTTTCTGAAAAGGATAACAATCCTCAATTCAATAGCCTGCGAAGAGCTAAAATTAAATCCAGATTGAAATCAAGTTTTTCCTATGACTATGAGAATTATAATATTTTTATGAACTATAAACTTTTAAAGTTTTTAATTAGCATTTTTAATGAGCAGCCGTGGCGCAGTGGTAGCGCACTTGCCTCAGAAACATAAGATCCGTGGTTCAAACCCTACCTCTAGGCAAGCTTTGCGACATCGGTTGAGAAGAAGGCGTGAACTTCCTATTAAATGCTCTTCCGCGGTGCTCTGTGATAAGACCGTAAGGACTTCTTGGGGCACCTTAATCAACTTAAAAAAAAAAAAAAAAGAATAGAAATTAATGACTATATATGTTGTCCTGTTTATGTTGCTCAAATGATCTTTGGTTGACCAGCTGTCATCTAGAAAAGGATATGTGCATAAATTACGCTTTACATGTCAAGCATGCAAATATAACAAAGAAACTTATACATCCAAAAAATATGTTGATATCAATAAAGTTAAAGGTCAAACAAAATTTGAAATTATGGATTTTAGATATACGTAGCAATTAAAATACAATATACGGACTGAAGAAGTCGATTTTGGCAATATTATGGCATTGCACTGGGTTTGACGATGATTTATTAAATTCAATGATTTCTTACGCAATTATTTGAGAATGCCTCTTTAGACCACACACATATATATTTTTTTATATTTAATATTTTCAATAAGTTCATATAATCTTATGCAGTTTTTTTATTATCTTTACTCTATTGTTTCAATTAAAAAATTTGATTTTTTAATGATAAGTTTTGGTAATAACGAATTATTGTAATCTACATCTTAGTTTTAATTGTCAAGTTTTGTGACGGAAACATGACGGAAAAAACACAATAAACAAACAGTTCTATTTGTGTTAATAAGAGCTTTGAATCAAACAAATCTAAAATGGTTTCCCTAAAAGATTAGGTGACCTAAAAGCATTTCGAAAACGCTAACAGGTTGAAGCGAACAGACGCGTTTTAAAGAAAGAAAAATGTTTTAAAAACATATAAACATATAAATGCATATCTTCTTATAAATCAATTCAGCACCCTTGTGAATTTATATGGCATTGACCCTTCAAGAAATAAAGAAAATGTTAAAAGAAATGTTTGGTGAGTTTAAAAAAGAAATGTTTAATGAGTTTAAAAAAGAAACCGAGGCTATGTTTAAAAAACACGAACAAACAGTTCTAGACATAATCAGTGGAAATCTGAAAATTTTAAACGAAAGATTGGACAAGCTTAAGACCAATGCTAATGAAAATGTAATAAAAATTAAAAAAATTGAAAAAGAAATTGAAGAAATAAGCGATAGCATAAACTTTAACGAAAACATTATTGATAAAAAAATCGAATACAATAGCAAACAACTAGAAAAGGAAATAATCCAAAATGAAATTTTAAAAGAAAAACATCGAAAACTTGAAGATCGTTCACGTAGAAATAATCTACGAATAGATGGTTTATATGAAGACGAAAAATAAACTTGGGGACAAACTGAAGAAAAAGTCTATTTATTTTTCAAACGTAAACTCGGTGTTAAAGATATTGAAATTGAGCGTGCCCATCGCACTGAACAAAAGAAAGGCGGAAAACCTCGGACAATATTTCTCAACCTTCAACAATATAAAAATACTGAAAGAACTACATCGAATAAAAGGAACAAACATTTTCGTTAACGAAGACTTTTCACTCGAAACCGTTGCCATCAGAAAAAAATTGTTTACTGACGTAAAACGAAGACGTTTAAACGGAGAGAATGTTGCGGTTCGGTATGATAAAACTATTTTGTTTTAAAAATTCTTTTTATGATAACAATAGAAAAAAGTAAACTAATTCACATTCTTAAAAAGAACTCTTTTAAACATATATTAAACAATCGTGGCTGCATTAAATAATTTTGAATCTCTCGCGTTTAATTTTTTTGAAAAAGAATTTTTTCCCAGGACGAAAACTCAGACCCCGACAATAATTTTTATTGTGAGACTTTTTCAGATTGTTCGAGTATTTTTTCAAGCGAACTAGAAGAGTATCTTTTTAAAAATGTTATTGACAAAAATTCGAATCAAATTAGAATTCTCCACCTCAATATAAGAAGTTTAAATAGTAACTTTGAAAAACTTTTAAATCTAATAGAAGAAACGAAAAACCTTTTTAATATAATATGCGTGAATTACATCAAAAGATCTAAATAGTAATTTTCAAATTCCGCATTTTAATATTATTTCTTTGGAGAGACAAATAAATAAACGAGGTGGTGGAGCACTAATTTATGCGCACGAAACACTTAGACTTGTTTTTAGAGGCGATTTGTGCATTTCTGATAGCGACAAAGAAGTCTTAACAATTGAAATTGAAAGCAACCAAACAATAAACTTATTAATTAGCTGTTGTTATCGGCCACCTGCTGGCGTGATTGAAAACCTTAGCATGTTTTTGCATAACGTCGTTAAAAAAAGGCGATAGCGAAAAGAAAAAATATATTTTGCTTGGGGATTTTAATATGACTTGCTTTCTTTATAACAATGAATATAAAGTAAAAAGTTTTCATGACACATTTTTTGAAAAAGGATTAATCCCCCTCATTAATCGCCCTACCAGAGTAACTATAAACTCAGCGACTTTTATCGATAATATTATTTCAACTGATATTTTTAATAAGGGTATAAAAAAAGGTATATTAAAAACTGATATAACGGACCATTTTCCCCATTTTGTAACAACTGTATATACAGCAAAAAACATTGAAAATAACCTTAATTTATTCAAAGACCAACTATCCTTACTCCATTGGAATAATATTAACATAAACAATCATGCAATCGACATATATGAAACTTTCTTCAAAACTTTCTATTCTGTATACGATGCTAACTTTCCCGTAGTTGAAATAATAGCAAAATCTAAGAGTTTGAATTCTCCTTGGATTACCAAGGGGTTTAAAAAATCTTCCAAAATCAAGCAGAAGTTATATATAAATTTTCCAAAAACAAAAACAACTGCAAACGAAAAAATTTACAAAAACTATAAATATTTATTTGAGAAAACTCGTAAAAACTTAAAAAAAAATTATTACTCGGAATTACTTAACAAATTCAAATATAACACTAAGTGCATTTGGGAAATAATGAAGAAAATTATAGGAAAATAAAAATCATGCTTTGGTTTTCTGCCACTACCCAGTGGGCATTTCGACGTCGAACGAACGTCGAGCGACGTCGGATCTCGACGTCGGATCGACGTTGGGTTTACGTTGGAAATGGAAATGTTATTTGACGTCGGATAAACTGACATCGCGCGACGTCGGCATTCCGATGTAAATCCAACGTGTTTTTTGAAAACTAAAAAACGCTGCCTTTGGCAGGAATCGAACCTCGGTCTATTTACTAGTTTATCCTATGCGCTTACCACTACACCACAAGGACACATAAATTAATGAGTTTATTTAGTAATTTATACTTGTAGCTATTTGGGAATTATTACTTTGATAAGAAATAATTTTGTTTAAATATTATATAAATATTAAAACGAATAGTTATATATTATAAAAAATGTATACTCGAAAATGTTAATAGTTAAAAAACTATGCTAGTGCATCATACAAAACCTCATGATGTTTTATCAACCTTTATTCAAACTTTTTTCCATTAATAAAAAAACACGCTTAGTTCACATAATTATTGAAGAGCGCAATTGCACACATATTGTTGGGTTTGGATTAAGTTTTCATCAGCGATGTCTTACGACGTTGTTCCGACGTCGTTTTAAGGACGTTGGATTGACGTCGGAAGACGTCAAAAGACATCGGAGTACGTTAATATTATGACGTTGCCCGACGTCTTTTTATCGACGTTGGATCGATGTCAGTACTGCGACGTTTTTTGGACGTCTTTTATAAGATGTCGGAACAACGTCAAAATACATCGAAACGACGTCAGGGGATGTTGAGATAAAGACATCGCCCGACGTCATTTTACTGACATCGGAACAACGTCGGAATAGGTCTTTTGACATCGCTGATGAAAATCAAACGTAAATCCGACGTCGGATTGACGTCGGGTGCCCACTGGGTAATGATTGACATTGAAAACACTAGTATATTTGAACCAAACGCTATATCACATGAATTTAATAATTTTTTTACTGAAATAGGTCCTAAACTATAAAATAAGATTCCTATCACAAGAACTGTTTAGTGACTTTTTATTACCCTTGGAGAAGTGCATATGCTCTGATGAGCTATCCTCTGATTTATCAATTGAAGAACTTGAAAAGGCGTTCAAATCTATTCAAAAAAAATAAATCATGTGTACCAGACGAAATAGATGGAAATGTGATTATAGATTGCTTTAAACAACTAAAAGATGTTATTTTCAAAGTTTTCAATGCCTCAATTAAACAAGGAATTTTTCCAGAACAATTAAAAATTGCCAAAGTTACACCTATTTATAAAGAGGGTGACCAATTCCAAATAACTAATTATCGCCCCATCTCTGTGCTCTCTGTATTTTCAAAAATCCTAGAAAGAATTATGTGCAACAGAATATATAAACAATTTGAAAATAATAACCTACTCTATGTTAATCAATTTGGTTTTAAAAAGGATAGCTCAACAGAGCATGCAATTATCCAACTTGTAAATGAAATTTCAAAATCGTTTGAACAATCAAAATATACATTAGGTATTTTTATCGACCTATCGAAGGCCTTCGATACGGTTAACCATCAAATCCTACTCAAAAAACTGAAATACTA